GCTTAATGGGTAGAGGGTCTCCTTTTAGGGTGACTAAAATATTTTGGAACTAGATAGAAGTGGTGGTTGTTCAACATTGTGAATATACTAAATGCCACTGAATTATTCACTTTAAAATGGTTAATTTTATGGTATGTGAATTTCACTTCAATAAAAATAAATTGCTAGAACTATAGGGAGAAACTGATACATACACCATCACAGTGGAAGATTTCACCACAACTGTCATGCTTACAAATAGGTCAAAAAAAAAAACACAAAAACCCCCCCAGCAAGATATAAAAGATTTTAATAACACAATTAATGACGGTGACCTAATGGACATGTATATAGTTCTACATACAACAATTGGAAAATTCCTTATTTTGGTCAAGTATACTTGGAACATTTACAAAAAATGATTATTGGTTGTGAGGAATACCTCAACAGAACTTCTGCTTCCAATGACGATTGTGTAACAGCGGCCAAATATTCACACACCATAATAATATACAGTATATAGTTCACAAAATGAACACACCAGGTAACCAGCACCCAGATCAAGAAAGAGCACTTTACCAACAATCCTGAGGCCCTTCCTCATGCCCCCTTCCAGTCATTACCTCCCCTGGGGATACCCTTAAACAGACTTTTAACATCATAGATCAGTTTTGCTTGTTTTTGTACTCTATAGAAATGGAATAATATGATAGGTATTATTTTATATCTTGCTTCTTTCACTCAAGATTATTTTGTAAGATTCTCACAAGTTGTGGCGTGTGACTGTAATTTGTTCTTTTTCATTGCTGTGTACTCTTCCATGGAGTTAATATAGCACCATTGATTTCTCTATTGTTAGGTTATTTTCAATTTGAAATTATTAAAAATAGCTCTTCTATAAATATATTTGTTCATGTCTTTCAGTGCACATGTGTGCAGGCATTTCTGTTGGGTCTTTATTTTTAATTTAATTAATTAATTAATTTACCTATTTATTTATGCAGGCTATGCCAGATTATCGTTGCAGCATGCAGGCTCTTAGCTGTGGCATGAGAACTCAGTTGTGGCATGCATGTAGGATCTAGTTCCCCAACCAGGGATTGAACCTGGGCCCCCTGCATTGGGAGCGCAGAGTCTTACCCACTGAATCACCAGGGAAGTCCCTCTGCTGGGTCTTTAGGGAAAAAAAAAATTAAATCCTTGGGAATATGCGTCTTTAACTTTAGTAAATAATGTCAAACTCTTTTTCAATGCAGTTTTTATCAGTTTACACTGCCACCAGCAGGGTATGAGAGAATACCTGCTGCTCCACACCCTTACAAACGCTTGGTATCTTTCATCTGTTGAATTTTAGTTATCCTTTTTTGTGAGTTTTATTTTGCATGTCCTTAGGGACTAGTAAAGTTGACTACCTTTTCATTTTCTTTTTTTAGTATTTATTTATTTATTTGGCCACGCTGGGTCTTTTTTTTAACATCTTTTTTGAATTTTATTCTATTTATTTTTATACGTAGGTTATTTGTTATCTATGTTATACATATTAGTATATATATGTCAATCCCAATCTCCCAATTCATCCCACCACCACCATCCCCCCTGCCACTTTTCCCCCTTGGTGTCCATACGTTTGTTCTCTACATCTGTGTCTCTATTTCTGCCCTGCAAACCGGATCATCTGTACCATTTTTCTAGCTTCCACATATATGCATTAATATGTGATATTTGTTTTTCTCTTTCTGACTTACTTCACTCTGTATGACAGTCTCTAGATCCATCCATGACTCTACAAATGACCCAATTTCGTTCCTTTTTATGGCTGAGTAATATTCCATTGTATCTATGTACCACATCTTCTTTATCCATTCATCTGTCGATGGGCATTTAGGTTGCTTCCATGACCTGGCTATTGTAAATAGTGCTGTAATGAACATTGGGGTGCATGTGTCTTTTTTTTTTTCCTTTAACATCTTTATTGGAGTATAATTGCTTTACAATGGTGTGTTAGTTTCTGCTGTATAACAAAGTGAATCAGCTATATGTATACATATATCCCCATATCTCCTCCCTCTTGTGTCTCCCTCCCACCCTCCCTATCCCACCCCTCTAGGTGGTCACAAAGCACCGAGCTAATATCCCTGTGCTATGCAACTGCTTCCCACTAGCTAGCTATTTTACATTTGGTAATGTATATATGTCAATGCTACTCTCTTACTTCGTCCCAGCTTACCCTTCCCCCTCCCTGTGTCCTCAAGTCCATTCTCTATGTCTGCGTCTTTATTCCTGTCCTGCCTCTAGGTTCATCAGAACCATTTTTTTAGATTCCATATATATGTGTTAGCATACGGTATTTGTTTTTCTCTTGCTGACTTACTTCACTCTGTATGACAGACTCTAGGTCCATCCACCTCATTACAAATAACTCAATTTCGTTCCTTTTTATGGCTGAGTAATATTCCATTGTATATATGCACCACATCTTTAGCCATTCATCTGTCGATGGACACTTAGGTTGCTTCTATGTCCTGGCTACGGTAAATAGTGCTGCAATGAACACTGGGGTGAATGTGTCTTTTTGAATTATGGTTTTCTCTGGGTATATGCCCAGTAGTGGGATTGCTGGGTCATATGGTAATTCTATTTTTAGTTTTTTAAGGAACCTCCATACTGTTCTCCACAGTGGCCGTATCAATTTACATTCCTACCAACAGTGCAAGAGGGTTCCCTTTTCTCCACACCCTCTCCAGCATTTGTTGTTTGTAGATTTTCTGATGATGCCCATTCTGACTGGTGTGAGGTGATACCTCATTGTAGTTTTGATTTGCATTTCTCTAATAATTAGTGATGTTGAGCAGCTTTTCATGTGCTTCTTGGCCATCTGTATATCTTGGAGAAATGTCTATTTAGGTCTTCTGCCCATTTTTTGATTGGGATGTTTGTTTCTTTAATATTGAGCTGCATGAGCTGTTTATATATTTTAGAGATTAATCCTTTGTCCATTGATTCGTTTGCAAATATTTTCTCCCATTCTAAGGGTTGTCTTTTCATCTTGTTTATAGTTTCCTTTGCTGTGCAAAAGCTTTTAAGTTTCATTAGGTCCCATTTATTTATTTTTGTTTTTGTTTCCATTGCTCAAGGAAGTGGTTCAAAAAAGATCTTGCTGTGATTTATGTCAAAGAGTGTTTTTCCTGTGTTTTCCTCTAAGAGTTTTATAGTGTCCGGTCTCACATTTAGGTCTTTAATCCATTTTGAGTTTATTTTTGTGTATGGTGTTAGTGTTCATAATTTCATTCTTTTACTTGTAGCTGTCCAGTTTTCCCAGCATCACTTATTGAAGAGCGTGCTGGGTCTTAGTTGTGGCACTCGCGATCTTCATTGCTGGTGCAGGATCTTCGTTGTGGCATGTGTAATCTTTTAAGCTGTGGCAAGTGAACTCTTAGTTGCAGCATGTGCGATCTAGTTCCCTGACCAGGAATCAAAGCCGGGCCCCCTGCATTGGGAGCGCTGAGTCTTAGCCACTGGACCACCAGGGAAGTCCCTTTCTAAGAGTTTTGTACTTTTATCTTTCGCATTTGGATCAATAACATATTCAAATAATTTTATTTTGTATGTTTTATTCTATATGGTGTGAACTAGGGGTAAATATTCTTTTTTTTTTTCACAAATGGACATCCAGTTTGTCCTTATGGGTTCATTCAGCTTCTCCTCCACCTCACATCCAGCTCTCCTTTTTAACTCTGGCCCAGCTTACCTGTACAGATTTAATACTCAACACCAGATCAAGCAGCCTTTTCCATTGTCTCCTATATGTGCATAAAGTCTAATCCCTATAATAAATCTCTTATTTTATATCATTCACTGTGGATCTACTTATCTGATCAAATATTTACTGATACGATGCTCTTAAAGTGGGAAGACTCACTCTATTTGATGTCAAGACTTGTTTTAAAGTTGCCGACATGGGACTTCCCTGGTGGCTCAGTGGTTAAGAATCTGCCTACCAATGCAGGGGACACTGAGCTCCTGTCCGGGAAGATCCCACATGCCGCGGAGCAGCTAAGCCCGTGCGCTACAACTACTGAGCCTGCGCTCTACAGCCCGCGAGCCACAACTACTGAGTCCGCGTGCCACAACTACTGAAGCCCACGTGCCTAGAGCCCATGCTCCGCAACAAGAGAAGCCACCGCAATGAGAAGCCTGCGCACCGCAACAAAGAGTGGCCTCTGCTCGCCGCAACTAGAGAAAGCCCGCGTGCAACAACGAAGACCCAACGCAGCCAAAAATAAATTAATTAGAAAAAATAAAGTTGCCGTGATTAAAATTTTATAGTATTGATAATACAATAAACAAATAGCCCAAATAAATGGAACAGAATTCAAAGACAGACCCACATATATATGGACACAATTTATGTCATACGTGGCACTGTAGTCTCTCTGCTAATTTCGAGTTCCCATGGAAGGAACTTCGATCTGGCTCTGGCCCACCCTTGTGGATTGGGAGAGGAAAGTGGTCCGAGATGGAAGGCCTGTAGTAAGCTGAGCAGATGGCACTATGTTCCTTTTTTTTTTTCTTTCCAAGACCTGATTTCTCCACCTCCATTAAAAAATCAGTTTAAGAAAAAAAAGAGGACCTTATCTGAAAAATCTAAAAGCTTTTCATGCTTTCTCTCTTGATATTTCCAAACAAGTTAGTTTATGCTACAAAAGGTATCACCCTTTAAAAACAAACAAACAAAAACAAACAAATTTTTTAAACCTTTCAGAGAGAGATTGGGAACTACCACTGTCACACTCCACGATGGGATCAACTCTGCTCTTCTGTGGGCTCAGGCTTCTAGAAAAATAAGGTAAGATGCCTCTGCCTTTCCTGAGAAAGACAAAGCTGGAGGCCAATGGGAACCACCCATCTTGAGCAGCTGGGGCTAGAACATAAGACGGCTCACCAACCAAGAGCCCACCAGACCCAACCCCCCTGCCTGTGAAGAAGGAAGGACATTCACACCTGGCTCTGTACCCAAAATATTTATTCTCAGCACACCTATGTTTGTGCCTGGACCACTAGGAGGGGAATTTTGTGAGACTTTGACACAGTGACCTCTGGAGGACTGGCCAGGTCACCAGAGCCGCAGGATGAGGATTGAGAAGGTGGCAGCAGCCATGAGCCCTAGAACAAGGTGTGGGGAGGCTTTTGAGGGCCTCTGGAGGGCCTGATTGGTTGGCCACTTGTTTCCCACCCGGTGTGTGGCCAGGTGTTCATTCTGAGGCTGAGTCAGGTGGGAGTGGCACGACCTGCCCACCTGCCTGTTTGGAAATTCATCCCCCGCAGGGCTCTGGCCACTGTTTTCCTCTCTCACCTGGGGATGAAAGTCAGCAGTCAGTGGCTTCCCCAGCACCCACCCCCCCACGCCCGCCACCTGCTGAAACACTGAACCATCTTTTTGCCCAGCCCAGCATACCTGTTCCACTTGTCTGAAGACCCGCAGCAGGTTTCCACGAAGGACACCCTGCAGCTCTTCCTCCCTCCAGCCACGCCTCAGCAACTCCTCTATCAGTACCGGGTATGTGGACACGTCCTCCATCCCCTGTGGGAACCTATGTGGCCACCAGCTGGCTAGCTGTGGACCCGATTCTGGCCTAGGGCCCACTGTCACACCAGCCCCAGCTACATGCGGGAAATGAAGGTCCGTGTTCTTCAGGCTACTGAATGGAACTTGGGAAGCTCCTTGAAGACTGGGCTTCTGCAGCATTTACCTGCCGAGCAGATGCTCAGTCCACAGCACATCTACTGGGCTGGGAGTGGAGCATGTGCTGGGCAGATGAGATCTCCTGTGAGGGGGTGGGTACTTAACAACTGTGATGGCTTGGAGTGGGAATGGGTCCACTGGGCCACAGGAGGGACAGGGAGAGTCCAGGAAAGAGGTCCTGGGAGTGGGGAGATGTCAGGTGGGCTGGAAGACCAGAGTCTGTGGTGGAGGCCTGAAGGATGGGAGGACCATGGGATAAGGAACTGAGACTAAAGGACTCCCCACTGAACCCCCACCCAAGACAAACCCCAGGGGAAACACTCACCGGCCAGACCCATCATAGTTTCCGCTAATCCCGATGAACTCAGATCCAGTGACGGCTCTGATGTGGTCAAAGTGATCTAGGGGGTGAGCGTTTTGGTGGGCAGCACGAGGCTAGAGTTAGATCCTGGGACCAGCCCTGGTCTGGGGGAACTCAGCGTGGCCAATTCCCCTGCCCACAGCACTCCAGGACATAACAGCTGACTCCACAGAGCTCCCAGCCCATTGTGAGTTCTGAAGTGGTTATAGGCTAGACACTGGACCCAGAGTGAACCTCAGGGCCACCAACCCCTTTGGATCTTTTCCTGCCCAGGAGCCACCATGCCTCTGGGTTCCTTGAGAGCCTGGTTGCGGGGCTCTGCCTGCCCTTTCCAGAGATGTGGGAGCAAATGTGAGACTCAGAGGCAGAGGCAATTGCCTCCCCAAAACCCATCAGCACTGGTTGTATCCCTAGATCTGGGTTCAGGGCAGTGAAGAGCTGTGTCTGCTCCCCTGAGCTGTTGGGAGGCCTGCCCAGGGCCCAGCAGGTACGCCAGACGCCTAGAGCTGTCCTGAGGGCCCTAGTGGCCACAGGCCAAGCTACAACTGCACAAGGAGTCGAAGCGGGGCTCACCTGCCACGGTGGACACGTTAGCAAACAGGTTACACGGCAGCACCCCCGTGGACAGCGACACCATCACAATGCCACCATTTTTCTTCTACATGGATAAACAAGTGGACACTCAGCTTGGCACTTCCGGCCTGATGGCCTGCCACCTATGCCCTGGGGGCCCTGATAGGGTAAGTGCTCACTCCTTGCCTGAGGGGTTGGGTAAGGCTTCACTTCTCTTGGCCCCTGGGTGGAACCCAAGGGTGAGTGAGGCCTGGGCTGGTAGCTTTGTTCAGGGTCAAGGGTCTTTGGATAGGGACTTCCCTAGTGGCGCAGTGGTTAAGACTCCTCACTCCTAATGCAGGGGGCCCAGGTTCAATCCCTGGTCAGGGAACTAGATCCCACATGCATGCCACAACTAAGAGTTCTCATGCTGCAACTAAGGAGCCTGCCTGCCTCAACAAAGACCCAGAGCAACCAAATAAATGAATAAATAAATAAATATTTTTTAAAAAAAGGATCTTTGGATGAAGCATGCCTAGTCCCAGGTTTGAGGGCTGGGGTGGCTGCTCACCAGAAGTTGCAGGATGTCATCGGGAACATTCAGCATATTGTTGCACACAGCCTTGGCAGCTGAGTGGGAGAAGATCACAGGGGCCCTTGACACCTTCAGGGCTTGCCGTGCCAAGGTGTCTGACCCGTAGGACAAGTCCACCATCATGCCCAGGCGGTTCATTTCCCCTATCACCTTCTGCAGGGACAGGTGGGTTTTTTTTTTGCAGGGGGGTGGGTCGGGAGGGACGCACGTGTATGCACATATCTGTAGGGAACGTGCGGGGTAGGATGTGGAAAAGGAGTCCTTACCTCACCAAAGCTTGTCAACCCACTGATGTTGGTGTAGAAGTGTTGAAACTTGGTGGAACTCTCTGCCCTGAAGGACAGCCAGAGGAAGGCAACCTAGCAGGCCCTACCTTGGCCAACAGAGCCTGGACTTCCAGGCTCTCTGTCCATCCATCCCACCTCAGAACAGGGTGAGGATCTGGACCAGCTGCTTTCTGGGAGTGTGAGGGACCTGCTGAGACCCCACAGCCTCCCTCTGTGGACCCCTCTGTCCTCACCTCTCTGGCAGTTTCCCTACCATGCGTCTACCGTTCCACCCTGGCCAGGCACTGCTCACCAGGGCGTGTTGCAGGTGAAGGTGAGTGTCAGGTAGCGTACTCCCAGCAGATAGAAACTGCGCAGCACAGAGAGGCTGCTGTCTAGTGAGTGACCACCCTCCACACCAATAAGGCAAGCCAGCTTTTGAGTGCTGTTCAGTCCTAGAAGAGGGCAGAGAATCAAGCGGTCAGAGCCCAGGGCCAGAACCACCAGAGTGAGGCCCTGACTATCCTCCCATTCCCCAGCCCACCTCTGGCTGAGGTCACAAGCTCCAGTTCAGAGTAGGAGGCACACACGCGACGAATGAGGTCAATCTGCTCCAGCGTGAGGCGCACAGCATCCTGGTCCTGGGTGTGGCATGGTGCGTAGGCTGACCAGAACTGGGGGTTGGTCCAGGGGTCCAGAATGAGATCAGGGTGGACTCCAAGTGCCCTTGGCCTGCTACTCCTCCTCGGCCCCCAGGATACTCATCTGGGTCAGTGGCCCTGAGTGCGGCACTGCATGACCCCGTGGTACCTTGAGGACTATTCAGCTTGCTGCCAGCAGCCAAACCGGCAGCACCCGTCCTCACCTGCCGTTTGTCCATGTGCTATGTGAATGCCCCAAAGGCAATCCACCATATCCTTTGTGGTTTCAGAGCCCCCACGCTTGCCAAGGATTTTCTGATCACTTTCTTTGAGTCTCCACAGAACCTGGGCACCCATGCCTCTGGCCTGCTTTGACCTCCAACACCCCTGCACTCTCCAGCAGCCCCACGATGGCAGACTGCGTGTCCTCTGATAGTCAGAGGCCTGTCTACCCAGGTTCCTGTAGCCCCCACATTCCCCAGCGGCCGTTAAGTGTGTCCCTCTGGTACCTGGGCACCCACGAGGCCATCCCTGAGCTTGTCCAGGCTGGTTTGGCCAAGGCTGAAATTGCGCAGGTTGCCCTCCTGTAGCTCGTTCCGGAAATGCTGTTTCAGGAACAGGGGCAGGTGGTTCTGGCTGGGGGGGGGGGGGGTCAGGACAAAGTAAGAGTAGGGGGCGTGGCCTCCAGGTCCTGGGCCTGTTCTGTCCCAGCCCACCTCCTCCCTCACACAGACGGTAGTCCTGAGGAGGAGTTCTTAGGTAGGGCGTTCCACCGACAACGGGGTAATGGGGACGAAGGCGCCAGGGGTGATGGAGGAGAGAGGGGTGGTGTGAGGGAGCCTCCTACTAGCCCTTCCTCTCCTGCCCAGGGTCGGGTTCAGCCCCCACCAGCCGGCACACAGCACCGACGCACCCATCCACGAGCCGGAAGTCCCGCATCAGGGCCCGCGCGCGCTCATGCAGACTCGGGGCTCTCGGGGAGCCCGGCGCTGTTGGGGCGCTGGAGGTGTCCGGCCTGGTCGAGGCGCTGGGGGTTCCCTGCGTGGTCCGAGCGCGGGTTACCGGCCACAGCAGCAGCCACAGCAGGAGCAGCAGACGCAGAAGAGGCCGCCGGGTGAGTGCGCGGGGAGCCTCGAGGCCTACGGGCAGCATGCTGCACAGGGCCGAGCAGGCGGGCAGAGGCGGGTCTCGAGAGCCTGAGAGGGGCGAGCGAGAGTCAGAGGGCGACGATGGGGTCCCGACCGTCGATGTAGGTGACCCAGCGGCGCGGCCTCGTCTGACGCGCGGCTGGAGTCAGGACGCTCGACAGACGCGCGGGGACCCACAATGCCGCCTCACAGCGTGGCCGCCAGGGGGCGATAGGATCTTCCCGCCCCGACTAGAACGGCGCACTAGTGGGCCACGCTGGCTTCTGTTGCGAGCGCCCGCTAGCGATGCATCGCGGGCTCCCTCCGCCCCTGCTCCCGGCCCTCCAGCCACCCCTCCTGAGCTGTGTGTACTTACTGACTCGGGGAGAAGGCCCGTGGGGGAACTGGGAGGGGTCCAGGAATCTTCCTAATTTCACCTCTAGCCAAGCAGGTCGCAGGTCCATGTGGGGTTTTAGTTGCAGGGATATTCCCGCCCTCCAACGGGTTAAATATTCCATGAAATTCTAGGAAGAATTAGAATTCAGAAGAGTGAATTCGATCTGTATGTTTTGACGGACAGAAAAGTGATTCCCTATATATTTTTAATAAAAATGAAATGTAAGAATAATACTTATGGGAGACCATTTTGTTTTAGTATCTCGTGTTAAAATTTACTTCTGTGTATGTGTTGTTACACACACACACACACACACACACACAAAAGACCCTAGAGGAATATACATACTAAACATTAGTTAATGGTCGCCATCTTGGGAAGGGGGTTACCTACTCCCTGGTCAATTTATGTCTCTTTTTTTTTTTTTTTTTTTGATACGCGGGCCTCTCACCGCTGCGGCCTCTTCCTTTGCAGAGCACAGGCTCCGGACGCGCAGGCTCAGCGGCCATGGCTCACGGGCCCAGCCGCTCCGCGGCATGTGGGGATCTTCCCAGACCGGGGCACGAACCCGTGTCCCCTGCACTGGCAGGCAGACTCTCAACCACTGCGCCATCAGGGAGGCCCCTGTCTCATCTTTTTTTGTATATGGTCATCCTGGCTGAGGGAAGTCGGAGGCAGTGCTGGTGAAGGCTGGCCATGGTGGTAAGAGGTTCATGAAGGCACCAGAACAGTAGCTGAGCCTTGAAAGGATGGGGCTTGGATACTGCAGGGGAGTGGAGAGGGCATCTGGATTGGCCAGTAGCCTAGGCAAAGGTCTGGTTTGAGCAGGATGACTGTGCTGTGGGGAAAGAGCTGGAAGAGTCTCCAAGGCACAGAGTAGGGGGACAGGGTCCAGTTAGGGCCCTTGGTGCTAAGAGCATGAGAGGCTTAGTCTCCTAAGGATAGACAGAACTCCTGCTTTAGGACAAGGTGGTTTCCCGGCTGGGCAGTGGCCTGGACAGTATAATTCGTTGTTTTCTGCAGAAAAAGCTACGGTTTAGGGGGAACTGATCTCAAAACTGCAGTTGGGTGGCATCTGAGCCTCCTGGGCCTGCATCAGGTCCTGCCAGGCTGAGAGGGGCCAACAACACTGGCTGAAATCTAGTCTGAGTTGTCCCCCGCCTTTTGCATTTGTGTGTGTCTCCTCTCTCTTGGACTCCCTGACAAGCCGGCCTCCCCTCTCGGCGCCAGAGGGACCTTGGCCTCTGGTGACCACTGCCCTCTGTCCATCACTGCCCCCTGCCTCTTTCTCATGCCTCAGGGGTAAGGACAAAGTCTGACCTGGTTGCCTCCAGCTTGCCTTCCTCAGCTCAGGAAGGACAAAGGGGGGTGGAGGTGTTTATATTCTGGTGACTCATACATCTGAGCTGACCTGCCACGGAGGTCTTCATTTAAGTGACATTAAACAACCTAATGCATGATGACTTTGCTGATAGTTTCTCAAAAGTGCAGAAGCTTTTCGTATACATTTGTTTCCTATATTAGTCTTAGGTAAAAGGAGAGGGCATAATGTTTACAGTTAATTTTAAAATGTTATCAAATTAATGCATACGCAGTTTCAAATGTCTGGTTGACTAAGTAAATAAATCAAAGTTACAGTCCTCCTGACAATCATTAGAAAAGTTGGGAAAAATATGAAAAGGATCTTCTGGAAGGCATCAGGGAGTTAACAAGATACTGAAAAATTACTTGTGAAGGATCCAGGGAGGGTGGAAACTCAGAGGTGGGCCAGGTCTTTGGGCTGTTTCTTCCACTAGGGACTTTGTGGGGCTAAGGAAATAGAGATTAGTATCCAGGGTCCCCCAAAAGTAAGGAAGAACCCTGAGGAGTTAGAACACAAGACAGCGCACCCTAGGGGAAAGAGTGAATCAGGCCTCAGCAATCCTGGTTATCAAACAATTGTCTCTCAACTGCAGATCCAGCCTTATGTTATTCTCTGCTCTGTGAGGCTGGGGCTTGAACTCTTGAAACCACATTTCCTAGCCACCCAGCTGGCTTCCTATTACATTCTGCCAGTAGGAGTTACCAGAGAAAGGGAGATGGAAAGACAGGAGAGGAAAACAGGAATGTCTCCCTCATTTTTTGTGTTTATGTCAGTGCGGCTCCAAGCAGTGGCAGTTGGCTGCGAGCTCCAACTTCTTCTGGCCATCGTTGAGCAGCCCTGTCATGCCCATTCAGAACACCTGTACCGACTGAGCAGAGCCTTAGATACCCTAGAGGTCTGAGCGCCAGCAACACAGGGCCCTTCTATAAGCTTCTATCTTCTAGTAACCTCCACCTCTTCCCATTTCCCCCTAATTGGACTCTGAGCTGGATCAGCTCAGCTTGGAAGGCTCTGAAATGGGATTAAGGTGATCTCGGAGTGCTGCTCAATCCATCCAAAAGAAGTCAAGCAAGGAGAGAACAGGTGAAACAAATAGAAAGCACTATTAGAACTTTCTGAGTAACAGTTCAGAGACCAGCCAACTTGGACCCTGAGGCAAGAGGAAAAATGTGTACTTCTATACACATTATATATGTATTTTTTAATGGTTAGTTTTTCCAGAATATTAAAATAGTTGAAAAAAATGGAAGAACTTAAAAGTAGGTGTATTAAAACTCACAACACTATTTTATGTTTCCATATTTTACTTACACGCAAACCAGAATTATAATTTTATTTCCCTGGCTTTAATGGAAGCAAACTCATGAATAATATTTTCAAAACCTGCTTCTTCGCTTAGTTCATTTTCTATTGATAGATTGAATGTTTGACAATTTCTCTTGACCAAGTGACATTCTTCAGTAATTTTTTTTTGCCGTACACGGGCCTCTCACTGTTGTGGCCTCTCCCGTTGCGGAGCACAGGCTCCGGACGCGCAGGCTCAGCGGCCATGGCCCACGGGCCCAGCCTCTCCGCGGCACGTGGGATCCTCCCGGACCGGGGCACGAACCCGTGTCCCCTGCATCGGCAGGCGGACTCTCAACCACTGCGCCACCAGGGAAGCCCTATGACAGCTTTTAAGATAATCTTTGGGGGAATTCCCTGGTGGTCCAGTGGTTAGGACCCCGCATTCTCCTTACCTAAGGCAAGGGTTCAGTTCCTGGTCGGGAAACTGAAATCCCACAAACCGCACTGCATGGCAAAAAAAAACACCCCAAAACCAAAAAACAACCTTTGGTCTTTGGCTCCTTGAAGTTTGATTTTTTTTTCTGTTAAGTTTGATTTTGAAATGCATTTGGTGGTATTATGAATAGTGCTGCTATAAATATTATTTCATATACCTTTTTAGGGAACTGGGGAACATATGTATGCATTCCTCTTGGATATATAGCTGGGATGAAATTGCTCAGCCAATGGGATATGTGTAGATTGTTAGCATTAACTATTATCTTTTATTAGTCATTATCTTTTTTTATCATGTTATTTATTATTATTACCTCTCATTATGTTTTAAATGAACTTATTTATTTTATCTTATTTATTTATTTTTGACTGCGTTGGGTCTTCATTGCTGCGCGTGGGCTTTCTCTAGCTGTGGCGAGCGGGGGCCACTCCCGCAGCAGTGCGCGGGCTTCTCAGTGCGGCGGCCTCTCCCGTTGCAGAGCACGGGCTCTAGGTACGTGGGGCTCAGTAGTTGTGGCATGCTGGCTCTAGAGTTCAGGCTCAGTAGTTGTGGCGCACGGGCTTAGCTGCTCCGCAGCATGTTGGATCTTCCCGGACCAGGGCTCGAACCTGTGTCCCCTGCATTGGCAGGTGGATTCTTAACCACTGTGCCCCCAGGGAAGCCCTACCTCTCATTATTAACTCAGTGTATTAACTCAATTTTGGCTATAATTAGTGCAGTTGCTATTATCATTAATGAACTGGGGGAAGATGGGGTGGTTGTCTAAGTAGTCTGAACCGATTAGAGAGGAAGTCCCTGAGGAACAGGGGAGGAGGTGTGCCCACATCCAGAGCAGTCTAGCCATTGGAGGTCCATGGCCCATTAAGTAGCCTGAGATTCTGGGCTCTGTCCAAATAGGTACAAAGATCATTTGTGATCTAGGCATGTTCTCTTCTTGGGCATCTGAACCAGCATTCCCTGAAAGATCCCCAGGTGGTACTCAGTGGGTCAGGATCTGGATTGAGGTGAGCTACACAGAGGGAACCGAGCCACCCACTGTCTTCTTCCAGTGCTGAGCCAAGCCACCTGTGTTTCCTCAGGCCAATGCCAACAGGTCTTCCTTGAATATCCGGTGTCTAAACTGCAGGGTCCCCCACCAAACCCCAGTATTGGGAGCCTGCACCACAGACCCCACCACGGAGAAGGACACTCACGCTGATTCCATTTCTAAAGCATTTATTTTCACGAAATGTTTGTGCTCGCATGCAAGGAAACTTTGTGGGGTATCTGTGGCTGCCAAAGTGACATCTGGCAGGATTAACTGGATCACCAGAGCCAAATAATGAGGACTGGGAAGGCAGCAATAACTGTGGGGCCTGGGCCCATGTGGGGGCAAGATTTTGAGAATGACCACTTAGGTGACAAAATGGGATTCCCACGAACCGCAGCTCTGGTTAGTTTCTGGTCTGGAGCCAGATCCTCTCTCTGATGCAGACGTGGGAGGACGGAGCGGCAAGAGCTGCCCAGCTGCTCATCTGGGAACTCATCCTCCAAGGGACTCTGTCCCTCGTTCTCTTCCTGTACCTGGAGGTGGCAGTCAGCGGGCAGCACCTCTCACAGCACCCCCGCATACACCTGCTCAGACCATCTGCTCAGAGCTACTCTTTTGCCCAGCCCAGCATACCTGTTCCACCTGTCTGAAGACCTGCCGCACGTTTCCTCGAAGCACACCCCAGAGCTCTTCCTCACTCCAGCCATGCCCCAGCAACTCCTCTATCAGTACCGGGTATATGGACACGTCCTCCAGCCCCTGTGGGAACCTGTGTGGCCACCAGCCAGCCAGCTATTGGGCCTCAGACCTGTTCCCTAGTCCTGAGTCAGAACAGAAGCCCTATGTGTCCAGGGTCCACTGAACCGCAGCCCTGGTCAGATGTGGAAAATGGAGACTTGGAGAGAGTAAATGATTCACTCCTGCTCTTCATCCTTCAGAGGAAGGCCCCCAAAAGCACCTCGACTATTCACCAAAAGTCATCGAATTGTACTGTTAAGATCTATGCCTTTCACTGAATGCAATTTTTGCCTCCATTTATAAAGAGAAGAAAAGCTTTTTAAGAACTGGGTTGACCCCCCTGCATGCACAGGCCCAACTGCAGGCAGAGAAGATGGTTAGCCCAGCCCAGACCTTGCTAAGAGTCTGCTCAGAGGCCGTGGGTCTGCTGGCACTGGATGGGCGCAGATGCTGGGCAGATGAGCTCTCTGTGGTGTTTGAGACAAATATGATGACCTAGAGTAGGGCCAAAAAGACAGAAGAGCCCAGGAAGCAGACCCTGGGGGAGGGGAGATACCAGTTGGGCCAGCACACCTGAGGCTATGGTCAAGGCCATGAGGACCACAGTGTGGTGGGCACAGTGGCTGTGAAAGCCCCACTGCTGCCCAGCCAGCCCGAGACAAGCCACGGTGAAGCACTCACTGGCCAGCCCCGTCATAATCTCCGCCAATCCCGATGAACTTGCATCCAATGACTGCCCTGATGTGGTCAAAGTGATCTGAAGAATGGAAAGTCAGCAGTGTGGGGCTTCCAGGGCAGGGGTGGGGGTGATGACTGGCCTCTGTTGATTCCCCTTTTTGCAGCCTGTAGGCCAAACAGGCCAGTTCCTTCATGGCCTGGCACCGAGAGTACCAACTAGAGGGTCCTGAGGTTTGATCTGAAGTGATCCCAGCTGGCTCTAGACTGGACTTCAGATTTGGAGTGGACCCCAGAGCCCCCTGTTTGGGCCATTTCCCACCCAAGATTCACCCTGCCTTCCAGTCTCCTTGAGAACCTGTGGGGGCTCCTTTCCCCGGGTGTGGAGGATGAGAGAGGAACAAGAGTACAACTGATGAAGACCCCAGAGACCTAAGGAGCTGTCCAGTCCCTTGGCCAGAGGTAGGGGCAGTGCGCTTTAGGAGCCCCTGCAGAGGCACAGATGGGCAGCGCCCGGGCTGTGTGTCTGACACTCCCACTGCTCCGAGGGGGCGCCCTAGGTTGCTCTCCCCCGCCTCTAACCTTCCTGTCCAAGCTGGGGTGCTTCTCTCAGAGGGCCACCTTCAGCCCGAGGCCTCCCGGGAGCACACGTCATCCCCATCTGCCTGCAGCCGGCCCTGCCCACCCCGAGGGCTGCGTGTGAGTGTCTCTGTGGCCACAGATGCTCTAGGCTCCCGGTTTCCCGGTACTGGGCCATGGTGGCTGGTGTGGGGGAAGAGATAGTTTCTGGAAATGGGAGGGGGGTAACCTTGTGAGCTCTGGATTCAGGAAGGGGCCCTCTGCCCCCGACCTTCTCTCTCCACCTACTCGACTCCCCAAACTGCATGACCATTCTCTGGGGACCTCAACCAGCACCTGGGAACTATCAGGAACCTCCCCCACTTCTGTCAGCCAGCCTCAGGAAAGAGCGCCCTCAGGAGCTGCTACACCTCCTCAGGGCCTGAATAGAGGGACTTTTGGGATGTGAACTGAACAACCTTCTGGGGAGAGTCAGCGACCCTTTTACTCAACAGAGCAGGAACCCAGTCAGCAGGCTATTTGAGTGGAAGGAAATGAAGTCATTTCCATGGCAGCAGAGCCCCCACCACAGCAACCTTCCTCCCAGAGCTGTTGGCTGACCTTCTGGCCAGGATCCCTCCTACCTCAGTGTGGAAGGCCCGGCCTCGTGGAGAAGTATAGATTCTGAGGAAAGACCTGGCACCTGGGTTCTGCTGCTACACTTGCCTTATCTCGTGGCCCTTGTGGCTCTAGCTTCCCCAGAAACCTCAAGGACTAAGTGCCTGTGCTTGCTCAGAGGCCGCACGCCATTCCCCATTTCCAGCCTCAGGCCCTCCCCCAGCTGCCTCCTCTAGGGACCCCCTCCCCCCAACACACACACACACACACACACACACACACACACACACAGACACACACACACTGGGGATGTGCCTTCTCACAGAAGCTCAACCACTGAGATGCTTTAGGGACTGTGCCCAAACTCCTTCATCTCCAGCCTCTCAAGTTTTTGCTCTGATCCCTGGCACGCCCTGGAGCTGTTCCACCTTTGGAACCTTTCCTGGGTGGCAGGAATGCCTAGCACAGGGGTAGTGACCTAAGTCTGAGCACTGGCGACCCTAGAAATCTGTTACACAAAAACATTTTATTGAGCAGTAAGTGACCCCACTGGGGACAGAAAGGGCTGGCAATAAAGGAGCATGTGAACCTCGGGGCAGGGTGCATGCTGCTTGACTCTCCATCCTGTTCTTGCTTCAGGGAGCAGGTCTTCCTGGGTCTCTCTGTCCTGCCTCCTGAGACCCCAGGCAGGAGGTTCTTTGGGAAGCCACAGATTGCTGCTTTCAGTTTCAAAAAGCCCAGCTCCCCCCTGGTTTGTGGTGGTGGCCACTGACAATGGCTTGGGGCGGGAGCCCATGTGGTAGACTGCTAAGGCTTCTCTGCACCCTGTCTGTGCTCCTGCATCCTCCTCGGCTCGCAGAGTGTAGACTTTTCTTTCTTCAGCTCACAAAGGGGCCCCTGAGGATTGAGCAGAGGAACGTCAGGTTTTCTTCCAGGCCAGCTTCAGCCCTGGGATGTTCAGGGCAGATTCTCATTCAAAACTCAGTTTCTGAGGCTCCTTGCTTACGGCCATTTAGTGTGGAAGGAGGCTCCTGGCTGAGGAAGGCTCAGGCAGAATGACTCAGGTTCAAATCTGTGGCAGTGGGCAGTGGGGGGGCGGGGGGGTGGGGCGCTGCCTTAGGCAGTTAAACCATTGCCCTCTCTTCAGAATGGCTCAGCCAGAAAGATTCTGTGGAGTCCGCCTCCGGGCACCATGCTACAATCGACGGATTTTCGGTCTGGAGCAACTGAGATCTTTGTCGGACTCTTCCGGAGCGTGCTTTCTCTTGGGAGCACGTCTAGGGACTGGCTTCTCTGCTTCCACCTTTGCTGGCGAGGCCAAAGGAACATCCCCGTAGACCCGGTTGCCACCAACTAGGGAGTATGTCTCCCCGTGCCAGCCCAACTGCGTTTCTCCACACCCTCGGCAGAGGACATGGTAGTGACCAGGTGTAGGAGGAGAAACGGGAGCCACTGCTGCTGCAAAGAAAATCAGAACTGATCAGTCACTTCTGCTGTGCACAGTCTCCTGCCAGAACTTCCCTCTCTCATGTCTCTCCCAGTTTCTAGCTGAAGACCTTTAATCTACTTGACATCCAAAACACAGGCTTGGCCCATCACCCCTATGAGTCCCTAGAGAAGGGACACTGGCTGCAAAAGCAATCCCTAGAGCCTAGGGCTGCAGCAGATGAGGAAGTCTCTCCACCGTTTCCAGGGGAAACAGTAGAGCCCGAAAGTAATTGCAATCATGATCCTCTCCATCTCTCCCTTCCACAACAGAGAAAACATTTCTTGCAGTCTGTCACTTCTGAGGCTTTAATGGTCTGTCACTTCTGAGGCTTTAATGGAAATGTCTTTCAAGTTTTGGAAAAAAATAATCTAATATAAATTGGTTAAGAACCCCACCCACCTTGGCAACCCCTCTTGGGCCCCATTTATACTTCCTGTTTCAACCACACTGAACTCTAGCCCTCTGATACTTTTATGTAGATTAGAACAAGGCCAAATGCTGAGGCAGAGTGATCAGGACACTCAGAACCGGGTTCTGGGTACCAAGTCTAGGCTCACATCAACCCAGCCTCCTGGGACACCATCTCCTCGGCCCTCCAGTCTCATTAGCACTTCATCACCCCCCCTTGGTTCTTCCGGTCTTCCCATCAATATGGCACCACCTTCTCCCCTAGTACTCAGCAGCTGAGTATGGGATGTGTCTGAGGGGACCGATATAGACGTCTACATGACAGCACAGAGGTGCCTGGGTTTGAAGGGGCGGTTCTAGAGTGGCCCTCTTCCTCAGACTGCTCCATTTACCATTTGCCAACAAAATTCACTTGTCTTTTGCTAAGAGGCCAATCGGGAAAGGGTCTGAATGGAAGCATCCTGTAGCCCAAAGGGGAAGGCTACATTTATAAAGATCAGAACCGTCCTGCACACTTGTCCAGGGATGACCTTTCACTTGTCCTCAGCAGTGAGCACTGTGGGTCCCTGAAGGTGTCCCAGGTCACTGGTATTACTTACATCTGTGAAAGTGCTCAGGTGTATGTGGTGGGCAAGACCCACGGCAACATGTGCCAGCCAGGTGGGGTTGTGTGTACACCATATTGCTTGTAGAGATGCCCGGTCTGGGTGTACCTGCTGCACTGCCCACCCAGGGAACAGAGCACAGGTCAGAGTAAGTATAGACGATGCAGTCAGACATTCTCTCTCAGACAACAAAAGAGATTGGTATCTGGTGGAGAACTGGTAGGGAAGTTTCTCTGAGGGCAGCACTTTTGCATAGTTACCCTGCCATGGAAACTGTGAGAAGTTCTGTGAGGTCATCACTACCCAGTGAGGTCATAATAAGGAACCTGTGACTTGGGCGGCAGGCTTCAGGAGGAGGGGCAGTTTTGTGGAGGAGAACAGGGTAGAGGCAGAGGTACTCTGCCTGGCCCCTCACACCTGGGCCTCCCCACCCATGCCCTAGTCTAATAGACCACCCCATGTGGGGCGTGCCGGTGGGCTGGCACAGCCCCAGGATCCCCAGGAGGGCAAGAGAGACCCACATTCTGAGATTGGCTTGAGAGGCAAGATTAACGTAAGAGACAGCTAGGTTGTATGGCACTGACCCTAAGAGGCAGAGATTTGTGTGGCCTGGGGAATCAGGGAAGGCTCCTTGGCAGTGGGCCTGAAGGACAAGTGAGATTTGGACCCATGGGGGAGAGAGGGAAGACATCCCAGTTTGGAAGAATAAAAGCAAAGACACAGGGCTTCCCTGGTGGCGCAGTGGTTGAGAGTCCGCCTGCCGATGCGGGGGTCACGGGTTCGTGGCCCGGTCCGGCAAGATCCCACATGCCGCGGAGCCGCTGGGCCCGTGAGCCATGGCTGCTGAGCCTGCGCGTCCGGAGCCTGTGCTCCACAACGGGAGAGGCGACCACAGTGAGAGGCCCGCGTACCGCAAAAAAAAAAAAAAAGCAAAGACACACTTCTCTCGACCTTGTCCTGCCCCAAATATAAATTCATAGCACCCTCACATTTTTACAGCTGAGGACTTAAAAAAACCAAGAGGTTAAGGGGCCTACCCAGTGTTACACAGGTAGTGGAGAGGTGTTCTGCTCAGTGGTTAGGTTCATGTCGGGGCTCCGGATTTATGGCTGATAGGAATGTGAGGACAAGCTCATGCCATTTCAAACATTTCCAAGTGATACTGAGAGAGATGTTAAAGGTGCAAAATGAGGGTGCTGAATGACCTCACAAAGTGGGAATGATAGGCCCATTTTAACATGAAATTGAAAACAAATTCATGACAAAAGGACATAATACAAAATGACAACATAATCATTACACTCCCCTCTCCCCTAGAAGTAAAAATCATTAGAATCCTTTCTCTCTCCACCATGAAAGAATGAGATAAAAGCTCAGCAGCAGCCCCCGTGAAAAACATGGTCAACAGTGTGAAGAGGTGTAACTAAGACGATTTGGTCCGACTCAGAGAAGGAAAGAGACAACTCTGCCCTTAGCCTGATCAGGCCCACAGGAAGGAACCACATTTGGGGCAGCCTTTGATAGTGTGGCAATGAGAGAGAACCTTCTTTAGGAGGGGACTCCCTGTTGCCGACCTTGAAAAAGCAAAGATGGGACATTCGTTTAATGGGGCTGTTGCAGAGGTGATGTGCCCAGGAGGTAGAGACTGCTTGGGCTACCATTTTAGAGGTTGGGCCACCCTGGTGGAGAACCACAGCACCTTCTATTCCTAAACTGCTTGAATCAGCGGGTGCACGTTAGGACAGACGAAGTCAGGCCTCATTGGAGCAGACTGCCTTTGGGAGTGGTAGAATGTAAAATGTGAAGGGGAATGCTCTGGAGGAGGTTTGTCATGGCAGGTGGGCCAGCATGAGACCATTCAGATTCTCCAAGGCTCCAGAGATTACTTGGCTGGGAGCATCCCTCTGATGTGGTGGGGGGACTCCTACCTTAACAGGACCTGGCTGGGCATCTGGGGGAGGCAGAATAAATGGTTTATTAACTTACGAGAGCGAGAGACTCACCTGGGGGGTTCCACAAAAGCACTTAAAAAGACTTGTACCTAGATTCTTGAGCCAACCCTCAGAAAACTTATCTAGATCTGGAGTAGGGCTCAGGAAGCTGCACTTTTAATAAGCTTCCTGGGCAGTCCACCACAGTGGTCCATGGATAGAGTGACCAAATTATTGTGTATTCTCGGTTGCTCTTGGGAGTCAAAGTGGGCAATAT